AAAAAGTTCGTTAACCAATTTGGTTGTTAACCAGGATGTTCGTTAACTGGGGTTCCACTGTACTTGTTAAATGAGGACACCCTGTAATGCTATACAGGAGTATTCATAATCTTGATCTGTCTTTTATTCATGAAATACACAACAATGCTTAGGAGTACAGCCAAGAACAATGCACCATTTGAAAAGTTGTAATCACACTTTTTTTATGCATTATCGATGTTTGGTGTGGCTTTCCTTTGTGATCCTGCAAACATCAAGGCAATAAGCCACATCAGACCAAACCTGGCAGTATCAGTTGTATTGACACGACACCACCAGATTGTGAGCATCAGTACAATTATACCTTTGGCAGTTAACTTTATTTTCCGCCAAGATGGAGCCCTGTCTTGTTACCAACCTCTCTAACAGTAACCTACAGAGAAGTCTGTTTTGAGAAGTTACTTTGTCAAACATGGAACTTTTCATCATAGTGTGAATATTTTTATTGTTTTTTTTAACTTTTTAATAAAAATTTTAATTACTGAATCTAAAAATAAATTGACAAAAATAACACTACAAAAAGATTTTTAGATTGTTGTTTTTATATTAAATGCTTCATATCTGTTTACAAAGACATATACTATATTTTAAAATAAATTGTGACAATGATGGATTTGAAAAATTACCAGCTTTTTGAGGTCACATGGTAGGTGGAAAGCCAGTTCCTTGGACTAGACATCTTTTTCCTTCATAGGCAAAGACTCCTGTACCATTCTTGGGTGATGACTTTTAAAAAATAACCAAAGACAGAGATGAAATTAAAAAAAATTATGAATGTTATCTGAACAAACATCTACTTCATTATTGTATTGGATATTGCATGCCAGCTGATTTGCACCTCCTTCATTAGTCTACATCAGTGTTTCCAAACCTTTTTTGTGCTATGTGGGCATAGCACAAAAAAGGTTGGGAAACACCTAAGCCTTTCTAAAATTCTTATGCCCACCCTAACATATACAGCGGCTATACAGTTAACTTAAACTTCGGATGAGTCCATTTTTAAATTACCCAACTATGGGGTGTGGGCCCCACGTTGGGAAACACTGGTCTACATGGATTAGATCTGATAATCAAGGTTATTGGATCTAATTCCATTTGACTTCTTGAGGTATTATGTCAAGTAGTATCCTTGTTTCAGCATTGTCAGGTGATTTTGTCAGAATTATACAGGAATGCCTATATGGAGCCGCTATTGATGTCAACGACTCTCAATGATGCGACATTTGTATGTCTGGACTTGTTCGTGACCCTTTCAACTACGCTCCATACATAGAAGACCAAAGGATTCAAATCTGGGTTGTTTTGAGGCCAGAATTCTTTCGACCAAAACATGTCGACATTCAAAAACCAATTTGTTTATTTGGAGATAGTAGCACTTGCCTTACTGTGTTTTGTATGTTGAGAAAAAAAAATGAAATCAGCAAGCACTGTAATGAAAATCACATTTGCATCATACTCAGCTTATTAATAATTTCCTTGAGAGAAAGAAGATTGTAAATATTAGTATGGATTAGTAAGCTGGATCTCCACAATTGAACCTGATAAAACAGGTCTGAGATAATTTAGATTGATTTCATTGTGTATTTTTTGGTTTGTTTGAAACCTCTGTTTGTTAAGCTTTATTCTTGTGGTGGAATTTGTCATTTTATTGTGCAAATTGTTTGATTGAAGAGGTAATATTTATTAAACCCCTGCATTGATGATAACTGCATCTTGGTTTGGAACTTGTGCTTCTATGATTATTTTTCAAAACAAATATTTATTTAGACATTTTAATACAAGATTTTTAATAGAAAATTCCCAGGAGGATTTGAAAGTGTCTTTTTCCTATTGAAACAATCAATTAAAAAATACTGAAATAACAATTAAATATTAAAAGCATTACAGAAATGTAAATAATTTATATATATATAAAATAAGGATAGAGATACAATAAAAGTGAAAAATTATAATAGTAATAAAATAGATTATTCAAGAAACAAATTGCATTATAATACAGTAGCCTCTCGTTATATAGCGGTTTTCAATATATCACACGTTTTTTTTTTTTTTGGTCCCTCAAATTTTAAAAGCATTTGAGTCAATAAATTTTAATTACTAATTGCCATTGAATTTCTTTTTGTAATGAAATAAGATTATTTTATTTTAACCATTGTCTTTGAAACTACTATTGCAGGTGAAAAATAAATTCATCAATATCTAAATAAGCAAAACAGGTGGACAGATCAATTATCATTTATGTTTTCCTTTGATATTAAAAGTTATTTATTTATTGGTTTTAAGTTGTCTCCTCATATACAAGTTTCTGTGAATTTGAAATTTCACACCTTTACCTGAATTGACCCAATACCTCAATTCATATAAAGGTGTGAAATTTCTAATTCCTGTAATGTGTAAGGAAAAAATTTCTTTATTTCTGAACAGAAGTTCTAAAATTTTTAAACAGTAATTTTATTTTGCTTTTTAGAGAATTTTTACTCTCTGTAATTTTATAAGTTTTGATGTTCTATTATATGTTCAATATTCATTTAAANTATCTTTTGTTCAGCAAGTACTATAAATTTGTAAATTTTAAATTTTTTGAGTAAGATACAAATTACAAATATGTGGTATTTCTAAAGTGCTTTGCCAAACTTTGGGAACATGTTTACAATGAACACAACAAAAAAAAAATATTGTAAAACACAGGGCTAGAAAAACTTCTATAACATGCTATAGTACATTTTTAGAGTATAAACTATGATACGAGAATAACTTTCTTATTCATATACTGAAGCATGCTTAGAAAGCATGATGCTATGCAACTTTATATCATTTACATGTTTTTAATGTTGTATGTGAATACAAATGTTTGAGACAATCAAGACATTCAATCTGAATGATACTTCCTTTTGAGTCTTGAACAATATAAAGAAATAAATGAAATTTATATTCGGTTTCATTTATTTCTTTTTATACTATCTTCGTATCTAAAACCAGATTTCCTTAGATTATATTTTGGCTAGACTCTAAAGTCTAGCCAAAATACAAAGTAATTTGGACTAAAAGTATATGATTAGGCTACTATCTTGTACCAATATTAATAATAATAATAATTTTGGAAATTAATTTTATAATTTGGGACATTTTAGAAGAAAATAACAACCCAAAGTATGACTTAAATCTGCTGCTACTTTGTCTATTGTACAACTAAGTTACCAGTTACACTATACAGACTTCTAATTTTTGCTTTCAAGTTTATTAATTTGAATTATATAAATTTGCAAGTTAATTATCATGATGACTAGAGATTAATGTTGCTAACTATCCTGCATTGAACTGGCCAGCAGTTTACTTAAAATGATAAAATTACTTTCTCATTATAATCATGAAAGTTTTTGTTCTGATTCATAAATTATGATGTAGTATGTTAAGTTTTCAAATGCAATTCATGTAAAAAAAAATAAAATATTGAGTGCTATTAAATTGAATACTAAATATGGTTTTAAAGTTGCTCAAAAAATTGCTAAAATGTCAAATTGAATGTGATTAGTTGTTCATTAAATTGATCAAATTTTAAATTTTGTTCTTCTCACTTACCTTCTCCTGGTCGTCACACTTGGCAGGCAAAGCCAGTTTCCAAATGTGGCAACCCTACTTCACATCTATGCATGGTATATTATATAACAGTCTAATCAAATATCTTTATGAAATCTGGCTTTAGATTTCTTATTTAGTTATAAAGATTCAAACTTGATTGTTTTATGCAGGATAATTGAAATAAACAAGCAATGATTTGCTCAACTTTCCTGGCAACATTTAAAATTTTAATGGCATAAGTCTGTTATCATATTTTATTAATAAAAACTTATATTTTTAACTATTTAAAAATGGCAAAAACCCTAATTTTGAGAGTAGGGATGAGTTTTATAAAAAAATTGTAAATGCTAGTAATGAGTAAAATTGTCATTAAGTTCGACCTTAATGGAGATACACATGACCTCCATCATCTCCCCAAACCTCAACCTTTAACCACCAAAATTTAATAGCATCAATCTAGGGGGATTGATACTATTAAATTTTGGTGGTTGGGGTTAAAGTTTAAATTTTTGAATATTTTTCCTCTGAAAAAAACAAATTTTTTTTAAAGTTCCAGAACAAATGTTGTTATAGAAATTCAGAATCATTCAATTATTCAGAACAGAATAATTGAACGTTTTTGGCCATTCAAACTGGCCAAAAACGTAAAAAAATTTGAATAAAAAGGCTGCATTTTAAAGGTTTTTGTGTCGAGGTTTGAGTATTAGTTAAGTGCAGTTAGAGAAGAATAGAAGATATGCTATTAAATACATGCCATCAAATATAGTTCATGCAGGATGAAGTGTTACTATATTTTTATTTCCATGTTTGAAACATTTTAATCAAATATCCTCATTATCATTGGGTTGGTGGAATAAATGATCTACACAATCTCCCAATTTGAATCTGTTGTATTTCTTTATATAGAGTCAGTTTAAATTGATGTTTACGGTATTCTATTGAACAAACTCATGACTAGTATTTTAATAAAACATGCTATTACTCAGAAAAATCAATGCTATGGCCAATCAGTCCTATGGTTATATGATTGGATTTTTTTTTATCAGACTAGATTTAGATAACATTTTCCAAACTGTTAACACATCCACACAGTTAGCGGGAGTTGCGGGTTTGAGTCTGAGTCCAGGCCAATTTTTTTTTCCAGAATATTCTAATTTATTTTATAAATATTAATTTAATTATAGTTATTAAAGTTAATAAGAAATGGGACCTAATGCATTCATCTAGTACCAAATTATTTAGAATTTAATTATTAAAATAGTATCTGAAAAATAGCCTGATTCATTATGGTGATTGTTTGGTTTGGACATTTTTCAAACATTGGTTAAACATTTTAAAACATTGTATATGACATTTTTTAAAATAGTTATATATCATTACAGAATCTTGTTGAATTATCTTTAACAACTCCATTGCAAGATGAATGTATTTATCAAACTCCTTTGGAAATCATTTCTAAATGTTTACAGAAAGTAAGTAAATGAAAATTATATATATTTACTACACATAAGTAGCATCTTTAATGTATTATTAAATTTTAATAAAATATATGAATTTGTAAGGTATTAAATAATTTTTATCTAGGATGAAATGTGGATGTCAAAATATTTGACAGAAGAAACTATTACAGTAATTTCACCATTATTAGAACGTGTAACTCCCACTTCAGAAATATGTGATTTCTTATGTAAAGTATGTTCTATTTTGTAATTAAATTATTATTTTATTAATTCTTATTAAGATTTAATAAACAATATTTTAATTTTGTATAGTATTGTCAAGTAAATCCTCGATCCAGTATAGTGTTAGATTTATTCACTCCTGTAGTACAGAGGATTTTAAAACATAACATGGTATGTATTTATTAATGTTTAAATAGATATATATGCAGACATGTCATTTTTATTTAGTAAAATATTATTATTATTTCCTTGTCTTTCTTGATGTAAATCGAAAATTATGATACAGGACTTTGGAAAGTATCCAAAGACTCGAGTATTTGTTCAAGATTATATTCAAGCTTTAAGTTGCCAAAATGATGGTCAAAAAGTTATTATGGATTTCCTCAATAGGTAATTTGTTATTTTATATATATCATATCATGTAAGAAACTGGATATATAAATTTTCATTTTAAGCATACTTTCTATTCTGCTATTTTATTTCAGATAAATGAATTATTAAAAATTATTCTTTTACACTTATGTATCAATAAAAACTTTTGTAATACTAATAAAAATAAGTAAGAGGAAAATATCTGCATTAAGAAGCAATTTTTAAAATGCCATAATTAGAAATTAAATATACTTTATTTTGTTAAAAAATTAAAGTATATTTAATTTAATGCAATTTTAGTATAACAAATTTAATAAAATGTTAACATTAAACATGTGTATATATAGCCAATTACTCTGCTATCATGGCCACAAACCTAGTATTTTGTATTACTTCACAATACAATCGACCCCCCATAACACGGGTTCCTATAGTTCGGATTCCTATATCACGGCGAAAAAATTGTGACAGTATTCATACAAACATGCTAAAAAAAAACTCTTATAATTTGGTAAAACGTCATCACCAACTCGTGTCATGACAGGATTAGTCGAATCTAGACCAATAGCGGATATTGCACAAACGAGCAGCGGACCTACTAAAAACCATTTATTATTTAACGTCCATAAAAATTATATTTATATTAATGATGTCTCTAAAGTTCAGCAAATCTTTTGCAAAAAAAAATAATTTATCAGGAAGCACACGAGCGCCATTCGATGACAAGCTCCACGACAAAAACAAGCTTAAGCAATGGCATAGTCGAACAGTGCATGCTCGGTAAGTAATCCTACAATTTTTTGTTTATAGCATAGTTTATATGGATTATTCCCAAAAAATTATACGTATTTTGGAAATGTTGAGTCAAATTAGTCTAGAATCGATTAATTTTATGGAAGAAACCTTTCAAACAGCCGTAGTCTGTAAACTGCATATGTGCCAGGCTGTGATTGGCTGGACTCATAGAAAATGGATTCATAAAAACCGGAACGTATCTATCGTGTTATGGGGGGGTCGACTGTACCTTGTTTTTATATTTCCAAAAATTCTCCATAAATAACAGTAGTTACAGGTATGGAGATAAAATATTTATTTTACTATTAATTAAGAAAAATAAATGAATAATAATGAAAAGGATAAGTGAAAAAAGAATTCACGAGATATAAACCAAAGTTTTCTAACTTTTATAGTCAAATAACTAAGTAGTTTGGGAAAAACTATAATAAAAGTTATTAGTAAGATGTTTAGTAAGAAGTTATTAGTAAGATGTGTTAGCATAGCAATTAATCAGTGGCTTATTCTGACCATATATTTGTACTGCACCTTTAAATGACACAATAGAAATCAAATATATTGTTGAGAATGAATGATTCTTTCTCTCTTTTTTCCCTCATAATCTAGAAAATGAAGGTGCAAGCAGCCTCGCTCCAACTACATGCTGATACAGCATTACATAACTAGTTTTATAATAGTTGAAGTTTAAAATGAATTTTTTTCAGTTATGACATCAGCTAAAAAACATGTATAATGCAAAAAGATAACCATACTTTGTCATTGTCTATAAATTTTTATGATGCAAATAAACTAAATCATAGTTATAATTCTTGATCCCAAGTTAGTAATACAAAAATACTTTTATAAATGATTTTTAAAAAAAGACATTTATCAATGACAGATGCAGACAAAACCAAATTACTGATGAGACAATACAATATAACACATAAAAATGTAAATTTTATGCTCAGATAAATTACAAATATAAATAAAATTAGCAAAACTTGCTCAAGAAATACATACAAATGATAACGTTCTTCAAAATTACAAATACCCTCATGTTTTAGAGTAAACTATATATGTATGTATATACAAAGTATAAAGAAATATATTCTGAAGAAATACAAAAGTAAAATTTAAGGTTATACTTTGTAATAAGTCATTAAAATAATTGATAAAGAGCATAATATATCATTAATATAGCTATTAACTAAGGAAGTATGTAATAAAATTTACAGAGCATTCATAACTTGCAGGTATAAAAAAAATCAAAGATCAATTATAACTATGCAATCAGTAGATTTTATAGCCATATGATAAGTCATCTTTGTCATTGATTATTACTGATTCCAGAATATTACTTAATATTAATAAAATGAATGCTCGCTTTAAATTCAAAAGTAAACATTTCACTTTTCTTTCTATTGTGAACAACTGAAGATGATAACAGTAATGTTATCAAAAGTTATTTGCAAAGTATATATGTTTTTAACAACTGTGCATTATTTTTCTTGTAAAATCTATTATCACACTAGACAGTTTTAAAATATGTATCAAATTATTACCAAATGTATGTTGTTATTTTTACTACTAAATACATATGTATTATTATTAGTTTAAAATATTTTTATTTAATTACAAAAGGTAGTAACTGTAGGCAAATTTGTAAGAAATTTTCTAGATTTAAACATCAAATAACTAATATTCTATGTCACTATGTTCAATATCTTTGCAAAAACTTTTATAATAGCATATATTAAATTAATTTGTGATTAGAAGAGTAATCTTTTTTAAATATCTTAATATTGTTTCTTATCATTATTATATGTATTGTAAATATTTTATTTTGTATGATTTTAAAATGAATTTATTATTAATTTTTAAATCTATTGTTAATTTTATCAAACTATGAAATTTTAATAAAACATTATTAATAACATTTTATAATTAAATCTGAATTTGCAGCATGCATGGATTGCCAAGTACATGTCCACATCCTCGTGTTTTACCAAATCTAGTTTCAATTTGTCTGGCTGCTATTTATTCCTTATTTGAGGAGAAGAGAAAGTAAATATACTTCACTATAGAATTATTTAAAATATATATTCATATTTAAAAATTTTTAATTTTCTATTTAGCCTTCAAACAATGAATAAAATTGATCATAGTTCATCTGAATGGAATTCTAGACTTGACTGTTTTGTGGCTATATTTGTTACCATGTAAGTGTATAATATAATGAACTATAATTTTTCTGTAATCAGTAAATGACAAGCAATTTTATATAATATTTTGAATAAATAATAAAAGAATGTGTTTTGTTATAAACATATTAATAACATTATTAATGTTCATTTGAAAGCGTTTAAAATAAAAATATTTTGGGCAAAATAAAGTATTATATTCATACTCATAATGATGTGATAAACAAAATCAAAACATCATTCATGAGAATTTGCTAAAAAGAATCAAATCAAAACTTTATTGAAGATGTTTTTATAATTATAAAAGACTAATTGTAGCAACTAACTTTTATGTATTTTAATTTAATTGTAAAAAATTTACGAAATATAGTTATATAATTTATGCAGTAATTTGTATAATTAACTAACATGCACTGTTTAAAGGAAAAGAATCTAACAAAAGTGCTCTTAACCAATTTTTTTGAATTTTTAATATCACTCATTTTGACCAGTACAATCAAATAGAAATCAGTTTTCAGTTTGATAAATCTTCTTTTATTAACTGTATATGATTTTTAAAATTTCCATATACAGGGAGCCCATGAGTTTTAGGTTTTAGACCAGTGTTTCTTAACCTCTAACGAATCGTCGCCCCCTTCAATAAAACCGTTCGTAGTATCGCCCCCCTTTACTTCAAAATTCCGATGCCAAGGCTAACGCCAAATTCATACTGCATTGAATAGAATACTGACTAGTATAATGTTATTTATTTAATTATTGTACAATATAACAAATAAAATATCTAATTATTCTTAATATAATGTTTTATTATATTTCCCAGAAAATTGTTTTTCGCCCCCTAAAATATAAATTGTTACTAATTGCCCCTCAACATGAAAAAAACGCTCACATGGGGTGATATTGCCCCCCCTCGTTGAGAAACACTGTTTTAGACAATTTTTTTGTAAATAGAAAATCCTTTGATTATCTTAACTTGCCTTTTTTTTATGCCAAATTTGGATTCTTTTATATTCTCAGCCAACAAGCAAAAAATTTTGAGTTATTGTGTGGTGATACATTTTGCCAATTTTCATTTCATTAATACTAAAAATTGTAAAAATTAATTTTTATTGTTTGTTTTAAACTGTAGATTAAACATAAAGTTTAATCTACAGTTTAAAACAAACAGTAGATTAAACATAAAGTTTAATCTACAGTTTTAATATTTAAGCGGATTTTATGCTTTGTAAGATTTTTACTGTAAAAAAAAGGCAAAACTTTCATATCTTAATAAGAAATTTTACAATTTTTTCTTTCAGCTTTCTTGGAACAGAACTTCTTTTATAACTTGTAACTCTATTGTATGATTTCCTGTTATTGATTTTGTACACACTTTTAGGAATGCAGAATGCCCTAGTGCATATTTAAAACTTTGTAATCATTTTTATTCATAAAATTAATTATTAAAAAAATAATATTTTTTCTGAATATATATTTTTAGGAGTTTGATAGAGAATCATCATTACATCTCTAGCATTAAAGCATTTTTTTCAAGGATTTTTCATGGGATTACTAATGTTTCTAATGGCATTAGTTTTATGCCAGTTATCAATAATGCTTTTAAACTCTGAGAATGCTAACAGTACTGTATTTTTATTAAAAAAAATCTGTTAACTAAATATTAAATCCATTAGTTTATGGAAAGAAATCCATAGAGTATCTTTAAATTTTTTAATGACACTATAATATTTTTGGTTCATGATTGTATGACAAAACAAATGATTTGCGATTTTAACTGGTTCAGAATTACTGAATACATCTTTTAGTTAAAAGAGTGTTTCAATTGTTCTTGAGTTTAGCAAGAGTTCAAGCAGGTCATGAAATTGAGTTTTGAAGATTTTGCTTGAAAACATTATTAAAAATGTTATTCTTAAAGGATAAATAAAGAAAAACTTATTATTTTGTCCATGTTATAGTAGTGATTTTATTTCAACATCTAGTAATTTTCTTATACTTCCAAAATTTAGAAATATGTTTTGAGGGAAATTGCATTAAATGATGGAGCTGAATATTTTAATAATATGTATATTTTCAATGCATTTTATTAAAAATCAATTTTATTTTATAATGAAGGTATGAAGAAATTCCAGTTTATTTTTTTGTTATTAACCTTGAAAAATAACATCAGTGTGACAAATTTGAATTAATTTAATGTAATTTGATATATCAATGGTTCTGATATATCAAATTACATTTTCATATTTAATTTTAAGCATATAACAAAATTGATTTTAGAGATTATTTTGATCTATATGTACTGTATAGTACCTACTCATTGCATAATGAAATAGGATTGGATGATATTCTTTTATAATTGAAGAGTTAAAAGTTAAAGGGTCTAAGTGCCAAAAATTTATTTTCTATGTAGAAAATTGAGAAAAACAAATACTGCTCATTCTTGGGTACTGAGAGTTATTGCAATCTCTGGAGAACTATTCATGTACAATTATTCATTACAATTGCACTTAGACTATTTTGACTGTCAACTCTTCAATTGATGCGAGCTCTACATACTATTAAATTCCTATTTTACGTAACAGGCAGTTAGCCTTCTACAAATAAAATTTGATTTGATTTGTAATAATAAATATTAACTGAATATTCAAGTAAAAAAAATTCCTATTTTACTTTGTTTTTTAGATCTACCTTTGAAGATTGGAGAAAAAGTTTGTCTCAACTAATACAGTCAATTCCTTTTCCTGATGAGTAAGTAATTATTTTAATTAAATTATGTTAAATATATATTGTTTATNCCACAGCACTAACGAAAATTTAAATTTGCCGACTGGAATTCTTTCAGATAACCGACTTTCGGATAAATGACGCTCTACTGTATTTACAAAGCAATGTAACTTTAATTTCCAATTAATAAACTTAACTATAATATTTTAATTTACAATAATTTATCCCTAAAATGATTAAAACCTCTAACAAAGTTAAATATTAGTTTTTTAAATTATTTTTATATTTGAAGACATGTGATTTTAAAAAATTGGAACTATTATATGCATTATAAAATCTTTCATTTGATCAAAATTTTAGTGATTTTTCTATAAATCTTGTTATCATTTTTCTTTTAAAAAATTAATATGTTATTTTACAATTAACTATTTTATTTCTGGATCTTTATGCTACACCAAATAATGAGTGTCTTTTACAAATTCATTGTTTTTATTTGCAAAATATTTTTGGTGTAACAAATTTCATCATTTAATAAGTGGAATATTATATTAACAAATGAATATTTAGTTATTATAAAATTTTACAAACAAATATCTCAGAATTTTGNGAAAAAATTGTGACAGTATTCATACAAACATGCTAAAAAAAAACTCTTATAATTTGGTAAAACGTCATCACCAACTCGTGTCATGACAGGATTAGTCGAATCTAGACCAATAGCGGATATTGCACAAACGAGCAGCGGACCTACTAAAAACCATTTATTATTTAACGTCCATAAAAATTATATTTATATTAATGATGTCTCTAAAGTTCAGCAAATCTTTTGCAAAAAAAAATAATTTATCAGGAAGCACACGAGCGCCATTCGATGACAAGCTCCACGACAAAAACAAGCTTAAGCAATGGCATAGTCGAACAGTGCATGCTCGGTAAGTAATCCTACAATTTTTTGTTTATAGCATAGTTTATATGGATTATTCCCAAAAAATTATACGTATTTTGGAAATGTTGAGTCAAATTAGTCTAGAATCGATTAATTTTATGGAAGAAACCTTTCAAACAGCCGTAGTCTGTAAACTGCATATGTGCCAGGCTGTGATTGGCTGGACTCATAGAAAATGGATTCATAAAAACCGGAACGTATCTATCGTGTTATGGGGGGGTCGACTGTACCTTGTTTTTATATTTCCAAAAATTCTCCATAAATAACAGTAGTTACAGGTATGGAGATAAAATATTTATTTTACTATTAATTAAGAAAAATAAATGAATAATAATGAAAAGGATAAGTGAAAAAAGAATTCACGAGATATAAACCAAAGTTTTCTAACTTTTATAGTCAAATAACTAAGTAGTTTGGGAAAAACTATAATAAAAGTTATTAGTAAGATGTTTAGTAAGAAGTTATTAGTAAGATGTGTTAGCATAGCAATTAATCAGTGGCTTATTCTGACCATATATTTGTACTGCACCTTTAAATGACACAATAGAAATCAAATATATTGTTGAGAATGAATGATTCTTTCTCTCTTTTTTCTCTCATAATCTAGAAAATGAAGGTGCAAGCAGCCTCGCTCCAACTACATGCTGATACAGCATTACATAACTAGTTTTATAATAGTTGAAGTTTAAAATGAATTTTTTTCAGTTATGACATCAGCTAAAAAACATGTATAATGCAAAAAGATAACCATACTTTGTCATTGTCTATAAATTTTTATGATGCAAATAAACTAAATCATAGTTATAATTCTTGATCCCAAGTTAGTAATACAAAAATACTTTTATAAATGATTTTTAAAAAAAGACATTTATCAATGACAGATGCAGACAAAACCAAATTACTGATGAGACAATACAATATAACACATAAAAATGTAAATTTTATGCTCAGATAAATTACAAATATAAATAAAATTAGCAAAACTTGCTCAAGAAATACATACAAATGATAACGTTCTTCAAAATTACAAATACCCTCATGTTTTAGAGTAAACTATATATGTATGTATATACAAAGTATAAAGAAATATATTCTGAAGAAATACAAAAGTAAAATTTAAGGTTATACTTTGTAATAAGTCATTAAAATAATTGATAAAGAGCATAATATATCATTAATATAGCTATTAACTAAGGAAGTATGTAATAAAATTTACAGAGCATTCATAACTTGCAGGTATAAAAAAAATCAAAGATCAATTATAACTATGCAATCAGTAGATTTTATAGCCATATGATAAGTCATCTTTGTCATTGATTATTACTGATTCCAGAATATTACTTAATATTAATAAAATGAATGCTCGCTTTAAATTCAAAAGTAAACATTTCACTTTTCTTTCTATTGTGAACAACTGAAGATGATAACAGTAATGTTATCAAAAGTTATTTGCAAAGTATATATGTTTTTAACAACTGTGCATTATTTTTCTTGTAAAATCTATTATCACACTAGACAGTTTTAAAATATGTATCAAATTATTACCAAATGTATGTTGTTATTTTTACTACTAAATACATATGTATTATTATTAGTTTAAAATATTTTTATTTAATTACAAAAGGTAGTAACTGTAGGCAAATTTGTAAGAAATTTTCTAGATTTAAACATCAAATAACTAATATTCTATGTCACTATGTTCAATATCTTTGCAAAAACTTTTATAATAGCATATATTAAATTAATTTGTGATTAGAAGAGTAATCTTTTTTAAATATCTTAATATTGTTTCTTATCATTATTATATGTATTGTAAATATTTTATTTTGTATGATTTTAAAATGAATTTATTATTAATTTTTAAATCTATTGTTAATTTTATCAAACTATGAAATTTTAATAAAACATTATTAATAACATTTTATAATTAAATCTGAATTTGCAGCATGCATGGATTGCCAAGTACATGTCCACATCCTCGTGTTTTACCAAATCTAGTTTCAATTTGTCTGGCTGCTATTTATTCCTTATTTGAGGAGAAGAGAAAGTAAATATACTTCACTATAGAATTATTTAAAATATATATTCATATTTAAAAATTTTTAATTTTCTATTTAGCCTTCAAACAATGAATAAAATTGATCATAGTTCATCTGAATGGAATTCTAGACTTGACTGTTTTGTGGCTATATTTGTTACCATGTAAGTGTATAATATAATGAACTATAATTTTTCTGTAATCAGTAAATGACAAGCAATTTTATATAATATTTTGAATAAATAATAAAAGAATGTGTTTTGTTATAAACATATTAATAACATTATTAATGTTCATTTGAAAGCGTTTAAAATAAAAATATTTTGGGCAAAATAAAGTATTATATTCATACTCATAATGATGTGATAAACAAAATCAAAACATCATTCATGAGAATTTGCTAAAAAGAATCAAATCAAAACTTTATTGAAGATGTTTTTATAATTATAAAAGACTAATTGTAGCAACTAACTTTTATGTA